CGGAGGGAGAAAGATGAGGCAGTCTGCTTTCATAAAGATTACAGCCTTGGAAACCCTATGGGGCAGTTCTACTCTGTCCTGTAGGGTCCTATGAGTCAGAATCAACTTGACAACAGTAGGAAGGGCATAAGGGGTATGGAACTCGCCCATCAGTCATTCCAGCACGGGCAGCGACGTGTAAATGCTCTTCTGCGTGGCCGCAGTACTGATGGCGGGGGGTGAGCGGCAAGCCTGACAACAACACTCCACCCACATGGCCCTCGGACACCATAGGGACCAGCAGCCACCCCACCTTCTGCAGTGCTAGGCCCCTCCCTAGAATCCTTGAAGGCCTTTCAAAGTCAAGATCACTGAGATAGGAAGTATCAGATTCAGGGACCGAACCCAAGTCCCAGGCTCCCAGTCCAGCCCTTCCAACATCTGTTGGCCTCACCTACTCACAACAGCCAGGTCCTCCTCCTGGGGATCCATGTGAATCTGCCAGTGCCACACCCCTGTTACTGGGTATTGGACACAGTCAGTGTTGATGGAAGGGTCCCTGAGTGGGATGGGAGTCGGGTCAACAGCCTCCTTGATCTCTCTCAGCAGGAGCTTATTACAATTCTGTACTTCTAGGCTAAAGTGACTGTCCTGAGAATGGAACCCTGGCAGCATTGCTGAGTCACACCAGAACACAGCCGACAGCCTTCTAGCTCTTTAAGGACCCATAGGGAGAATCTCTGTATCCAAGGAAACTGAGGCTCAGAGAGGTTTAGTAACTCACGCAAAGTCATGTAGCTATCTAGGGTTAAAGCCAATTTCCCTATACTCCCTGGATTCCTTACACCATGTGTTTATTTTATCTCATAGTCCCAGATTTTAGCAAAATTCCCAGCAGCCAGTGCCTTTCCAGAACACCTCTACCGGGGAGGAGTGAAGTCCCAGCCACCCACAGAGTATGAGGGAGGAGAGCTCTTGTGTTTAAATGTGGCTAGGGATGGAAGAATTCTCCTTCAAGCCTTGCTCCTCCATCCCTGCAGAAGCTTAAATGTATGTTCTGTCTTTTCAAAGCTGGCGTTCAGGCTTGTCTTCAGTGTGGACTTTGAGTCAGACAAACCTGGATTCAAATCCCAGTTCTGTCCCCAATCAGCCCCGTAAAACCCATTGCCATCGGGTCAATTCTGACTCATAGTGACCCTATAGGACAGAATAGAACTGCCCCATAGGGTTTCCAAGGAGCAGCTGGTGGATTTGAACTGCCAACCTTTTTGTTAGCAGCCAAGCTCTTAACCACTGCACCACCAGGGCGGCAATCAGCCAGTACCCTCTGTGAGCAAGGGACAGTTCCTCAACACAGTGACAGGCACATTCAGTAAATGGGAGCTTAAAAAGTCTGATGCTGGCAGTGTAATGAACACAATTAATGTCACCTAAGTGTACATCTGAAGAACATTGAAATGGCAAATGTTTTCTTACTTATACATTTACTACAACAAAAAAATATATTCTGGTGCTGGAACTTGGGTCTCCACAGTGGAGCCTGCAAATCAGGGAAGGCTCAACACCCCCCAGGGGAGAGGAGGGGATGGGTGGTGGGGGTGGCAGAGAAACACAGCCCTGGTGTGATAGATACCTTTGCAGGCCTAAGGCTTCGACCAGGGAGAAGGGCAATAGGAAAGGAGTAAAGTAAAATGAATGCGAGAGATGTCATTCAATTTTGCAAATATTTATTTATAAATGTTTTTAAAATTTTTATTTATTTATTTTTTAAATTTTTATTGTACTTTAGATGAAGATTTACAGAACAAATAGTTTCTCATTAAACAGTCAGTGTACATATTGTTTTATGACACTGGTTAAAAATCCCATGATACGTCAACCGTCTCCCTTCTTGACTTCGGAGAACATTTTTCTTTTTTTTTTTTGTGAAAATATACATAGCCAAAGTTACACCATTTCAAAAGTTTCTACATGTACAATTCAGTGACATCGATTACATTCTTCCAGTTGTGCTGCTATTCTCATTGTCGTTTTTCAAATTATTCCATCACCATCATCTTCAACTCACTTGCCCCCGAGGCTTCCCATCAAACCTTTTGAGTTGCTGTTGTCAATTTGATCTCACATAGATAATTCTTTTTTTTTTTTTTCCTGTCTCATAGCAGCACTGGGGTAAAGGTATGTATACTTTGACTAGTTAATGACATTCTTTTCTCCTAAATCACAATCCACAGTAAGAGGTTTGAAAAAAGTTTTATAGTTTCAATCTTTATGTTTATTTTGCTACAGAATAGCCTCGACAATACTTCTTTCCTTTGGGGTATTCTACAGTAAGGTTTAACTACAAATTCAAAAGCATTTCACAAAATACCACTTACATTTTCTATTCTATGATCACCAAAATAACTAACCATTTGGAACACAAAAGTAGAAGTACAAGAAGTAGGAAACCATAAACTATCATCAGATAAGCACTCCCAAAAAATGCTTGTGGAATTGAATATACCTTAATTTGGAAGTCCATTTTTTTTTACAGTCACAACTAAAGCTTACCAAATATTCAAATAATATAGTAATCTGAAACAACGTACCTCACTTACATTAAATTAAATAGCCAATCCACTTGACAGAATCTAGAACAGTGTAACATCTCCACGAATATTTTCCTATTCCTCCTCCCAAAAAAAAAAAA